AGTGCTCCAGATCTAGATTCCGTATGTTCATTCAGGGACTAGTATGACTTTGTAAATCAATAATTTATTTTCAAGTAATAATTCTGATTTGTGACCAATAAGCCAATGGAATTTCCTTAAGGAGTTGATCCTCGGTCCCAGCAATAGAAGGTGATGTACCAGACCACTAAACCGCATATCGCCCAAACATTTTTTAATCGAAATTTGTATATTATGTAGGCCACTCATACACTAGATGAGTATCATGTCACACGCGTGACGTGGCAAAGACTGCGAATTCCTATCCTTGAGTTTCAGCCCGTGAACTCCAGTGAATATCTTCTTCTCCAAGGAGGTCGACCACAGCACGGGTCGAGCACTGTCACCAATAAAAATGAAATCCGGTTCTACAGAATGGGCTACTATGACACAGGATGACATTATTAAAAGTCGGTATGTTCTTTGTATTTTGTGTATGCGCCAACAATGTTTTATTTCAACATGAGGTTTGTGTTTTTCCTTTTTTGTTTCGATAGTGCCAGACTCACGTCAGATGTGCATGCAGTCGCTTAGGGTCAAACACTACATCAATCTGGCTTTTTTCTGACAACTGAATTCAAATAAAACATTCTTCTGTCAATTGAATTAAAAAATGTGCGGTACATTTTGAAAAAATAAATACATTTCCGAACCTTGGGAGTCACAGCGTGGTGGAGGGCAGCGAAGAAGCAAGATGAGCAGAAGAGAGTGATTAAAGAGATCATGACCTAAAGTGGGATGTATAACCAGAAAAAAAGAAGAAATGGGAAGTATTATTTCTTAGTGTGGGATGCCTAGAAGCATTTCCGTCTCTTTGGAACACATGATACTATGCCAGATCACAGAGTCAGAAGACAGAACATTGAGGGCAAATCCTATTTGTTCCAACAGTGGTCGTGACTTACCGCTCTTCTGAATAATACTACGTTCAAGTTTGACCTGATGATGTCTCTAAGCCTTTAAGCAATGTGATCTCCAGAAATGTTCACAAGACGAAGAGAAACCAAGAATTAACTAACTCCCTCACACATTAACAATCCAAGAATCTGCGCTGACAAGCTTCTCTGACCTAGTTATTAAGACAGAAAGATATTGTAACCAGAAAGATAGTGAAAAATTGTACAAAACTAAAATCATATGCAATTAGGTGCACAGGTAGTCTGGAAGAAGATAAAATGTAAAGTTCTTATTCTAATTAGATCTATCAGCATTTGAAGAAAAATTGTTTTGAAGTGGTATTTCTAACGATAGTATTATCTTTTTGATTCGCTAGGAACTTCGCTATTGTGTTGTTTACGATTAGTGGATCCTCTGGTGATACGTAATCTAAAAATGGAGCAATAAAGGTTTCAGTGATAGTTGAAACCACGAAACAATTTATGTTTCGTTACACAATTTTAAGTGGATGTAACAGAAGAAAGTAAAAAAAATAGCATTATAAGGCACTGTAATAATTAATATTCCTCATGGACACTTCTCTCTCAATCGCTGATATTCATCAAGCTGATCAAACCAATAATTAGGTCCTCAATTGTGACGTAAGGAATGAGTGAAGCTACAATTAATGTGTGATGCGGAAGTCAACGTTAGTCCTACCTTGTTCCTTTTATTCAGATACAGGTATTATCTGGCCATCATCGTCTTAAAATTACCTAGCACCACGAGCCACAATTGCCTGTCATAACCCTGTAAGAACCAAATAAGTAATTTATTATGACGACTAATTTAAAAAATAAAACGAAAATTCCATATGCGATGAATTCTAGGAAATATTCCGTCATATAGGGGCTGGAAACATGTACAAAATAAATTTAATATCTTTTTTGCGTCTAAAACCTGATTTCAAGGCAAATGTAAAATAATTGAAAGTAAAAGACACAATTTCCATAATATCATAAAGAAACAATTTGGATTGTGGTATATCAACATTCAATAGTATAATTGCTGTATTCTCTTGTTAGCATGATGATACTTAGTGGAAATTATAATTTGTAATTCAAATTGTATAACAACAGTTGGCTGTCTGAGCAAGCCTTGGCAGAGGCTCTTGTATTTCACACCTCGTACTTTGCAGCAAAAGATTGAGCTCGTGTGAAAGATCATTAAGTTCCATGATGATTTGGTGTGTGACTCCCCAGTGAGAAAAAATTAAGAGACAACCTCAAAGACATCGAGACGTGTCGTCTACGGCATATGTACATGAAAAGTGGCTCGGGAACGTTGAATGTGAACCATAAAAAATTAAATGTCGGGCGGAAAAGTTGGGCATAGTCTATTCATTACGATGAATAACAAAATACTTGTGCGAGTCCTTGTTTTTGGTGCTAGAAGATTATATATTCCATTTTCTCTCTACAAAAAGGTTCCATTCTCTCTCGTAAAGAAGCAACTAATTATCCAAAATCATTTCAATTAGTCCCATCTGCAAAACACGTCAGATATACAATTAGTGAAGTTTCTGGCACAATAACGAATAAAATTTCCATTAATAATGGTGGGAAAAGTCCACCGAATTTGAAATATCTTTATCTATTTTAAAAAACCTAGTTGTCTCCCAAACTGACGTACATATTTCAAATTACATTGGTATGGAAGATTTTTCTTACACTTTCCTTGTCAGTATATTCCATTTCTAAAGGTCGGGGGATCAATATATTAAGTAACAGGTTTTATAGAAGATGCGTGTGATGTAAACAGACTACCTCTGTTGTGTGCTTTACATTTTGTACCTTACCATTTTGTAGCTTTGTATTTTTCAAAGCTAAAATGTTTGCAATTGTATCTGCTATTGGGGCATATGTTTGAGAATTTTGAGGGTGGTACAGATCTGCCAGTGGAGGTAACTACACACCGTGACGAGTCTTTTCAAGTATTCGGTTTTTAATAGAATTGGACATGCTGAGACGATATGATCAATGCTTTTTAGTTCTTTCTGTCTTATTAATTCTTAATAATTCATAATCTTGGGAAATTTTGAGGGCTGCTTTATCACAATGTCGTTTACTCAGCGCCTAATTCTGAGCAGCTATTAGAAATGCCTCCGATTCTGGTTTCATTCTTCTCCTGTTAAGCCACATAAATGATTAATTTTTATCGATCTGCACCTTGTCCATTCTTTTTAGATTCTTTAATTAATAAAATAATAAGAAGATTCTTTAACATCTCTCCAAGATTTCTTTAACATTTTTGTGTCTCCAATTTCATGTTTAGTACCATCAGAAATTCAGTGTCTGTGTTATTCTGTGTGTCTTGCAGTTTTCTTTGCAATGCTTCTTGCTATACAAACAATGCTTCTGTTTCGCATTCTTTGGTCAGATTTCTTGACCTGCCTCATTAGAGGGCCATCTTCATGACTGGCTACATACTTTCCCACCCCGACTATTGCATTGTGCCAGGAGGCTTCAATTTGTCTGAGTCCTCTTTCTCCTTCCTTACGTGACACAACATCAGCTCGAGGGTGGGCGACGTGATGCATTGTTTGCAGTTTTCTGTTTTTTCGATCCATGATTCGCATTTCTTGCTCACTCCAGTTCACGAGTCCAAAATTTCTCTTACATTCTCTGACCGTAATTGCGTCCAACAAGGTGACAGGAAAGGTATCAATTATATTATTATTATAAAATTAATTATTAATTTTGTGATGTGATGGTGGAATTCTCGCACAAATGAGTGAGTTGAGACTCCTTTGCTCTGTCTGTCGTACTGATATACCTGGTACGCAAATATGAATGGTACGGTATGGCTTGGTGCGACATCTAAGAGGCAATCTCGAAATCTCTCCAAGGAAGAAACTACCACTGCTGTAGTACGTCATTCTCAACGATCTTGACAGCATTATATGTTTGAATGTTCGTGACGCATCCAAACAAGCGAACTCAGGCTCTCTCCCATTCTCTTTTCATTGGAACTACGTAAGGAAGATCACTGAGCCATCACAAAAGCAAGGGATGAACGATCTCCATAAAAACATTTTTTCAAAGACGTCCATGGGCGTGGGAACTGAAGCACATGACAGTGCATTCTGAAGCTCCGCATGCTCAACATTCCAAGTGCATCTCAAGTGTGTGTATGTGTGTGTATGAGTGAGTTCACCTTCACCAATATCACTTCAACTTGCGTGTTAATGAGTGAGAAAGATAATGAGAGAAATGAGAGAAAACAATGGAGGGTCAGACATATTAATAAGAACATGGTACCCGAAACATTGGGCAGTAAGATGGACGTTATTTTTCCTTAGAGATGAAAAGTCCTGCAGAAAGAGGAAGCTGTGGCTCCGAAAAAGCCTTTAGATGAAAGAAGGAAACAGAAGAGCTTCTTGGCGATCCTGGTGCAGCGGCACGATGTTGTGTTAAACAAGAGCGGATCAAACTAACATAGAGAGAGGGGGAGAGAGAGAGGGAGAGGGAGAGGGAGAGAGAGAGGGGAGAGGGAGAGGGAGAGAGAGAGGGGGAGAGAGAGAATTAGAAAGAACGAAGAATGGCAGAGAAGAAATAAGAATGAATGAATGAAAGAGTGCAAAGGGGGAAAGAACGAAGAAAGAAAGTAAGAAAGAGAAAGAAGAAAGGAAGAAGAAGGAAGAATGGAAAGAGAATACTGTTGCCAGAGCAACGAAAACTGCAGCTTGTGCCGCATGAGGTGCAAAAGGGACAAAAGGAGGGAAGGCCCGTGTGTCTGGGCAAGGGCATTATCAAAGGATGTATGGACGATGAGCAACAGAGGCGACGAGTGAGGCGTTCCGAGGGCCTGCGAGAGGGGCGAAGGGAGGGAAGTGTGAAGGTGCTGTGCAGGGGCTGTGCTGCATGAAATGCAAAAGGGCAAGAAGGGCGCGGTGAGAAGGCCGAGGGCGCGTGGAAGGGCCGCCCCGCGGCCGCCGGCGCCGCGCGACGCCGTTGAGGAAGGTAACGGCGCTGCCGCCGCCGCCACCTCAGCAGCGTCACGGGCGGCGCGCGCTTGTTTGGAAATCCAGGTTACATAGTTGAGAAATGAAAGCTGTTGTTGGCTGCGGCCTCCTCCACTCCGCCTCCACCTCCGCCTCCGCCTCCACCGTCCCTTCACTGCGCTGGAGCTGCTGCTGCGGAGGCAGCCCCCACCGCGCCGGCCCCCAGCCGCCTGCCCGCCAGCCGCCGCGCCGCCGCCGCGCCAGTGCTCGTCGAGGCCTGGTGACCGCGCGACGCGTCCTCACGCGAAGAGAGAGCGAGACCGAGCGCCTGCGCCAGCGCCAGCGCCAGCCGTGTCAGTGCGTGTGAAGTGCGAGCGAGGACCAGCCAGCACCAGCGTCGGCGACGGCCTCCCCCAGCAGCGGGCGCCACGCCGCAGCACAGCGCCTGGGCTTCCACGGAGGCGCTCTCCGCGCACCAGCTATGAGACAGAGGTGAGTCCGGGCGGTGCGGCCGGCCTCGTAACGGGACGTCAGCTGTTGGCAGCGGCGCCGCTCAGCTGTTCGCCCGCTCCGACCGCGCGGGCCGCCGCCCACGCGCGCTGGAGGACAGGTCCGCGTTGTAACAGTTGCGGTGGGCCGGTGCCAAAACGCGCAATTTCAGCCGGCGGGAAATGGGGTCACAATTCTACATCGAGTTACCGTAGCCATGTTACATTTACATTTAACCATGTGGACATGCGATTCTTATTTGAGCTTTCTTGACCAGGCACTAGGAGTGGAAATTCTGAGGAACCCAAAGTTGAAACAATTACGGTTGTTAACTGGGTAGACGATTAATAAATTGATCAAGCAAATTATAAAGGGCACCGGGTTTCGAATTGGAAACTCTCTGGAAGTAAAGATTAAAAACGATTTCAGATTCAAACCAACTTGTGTACAATGTATCAAAATAGTCGTGCGTATATCAGTTAAAATCAGAAGTATCAAAATAATACAATCTTTTTTTTAAATGTGACTCAGAGGTTTCGGTAGATCTATCTCTTGGAAAGTAACTATACTACTGTTATACAAGCTTGTAAAGTTGTAGTGTGTGGCGTTATGCAGACTAAAAATCTCACGAATGTCATAGCAGAAGTGACCGCTGCCAAGATCGCGTGCTGCCCTCAGATGACATAGGAGCGATGGAAGGGGGCGCGAAGCTCAATGTTTCCGCCTCCGTTCTGGGGCGGCGCATCCGGGTGGAGGGTTGAGAAAATCGAGTGCGTCTCAGGGGCGTCAGCGGCCGAAGTGGCGGCAGGCGGAAGGGGTTGTCGGGATCTTGGCAAAGTATCGCCCGAAAGGAAGTCCGAGTGAAAACCTCGCCAATCCCGCTCGTGCGGCTGCCGTTAGGCAGTAGTCTTTACAACACCGCCGAAACATGCGGTGGAGTTGTAGATGAAGAAAGTAATATCCATTAGTCACAATTGGCATTTAAGTGAAGTTAACAGCATGAAGTTACGTAAATTTTATGTTTTCTTATACAAGAAAACCAAGAGTCATGTTACGTGAATGAAAGTTGTGCATGCATGACTTCCAGTTATGGAACAAATATTTCGGTGCAGAATACTTTCCGGGAGTCTTCTTTGTCTTCATCACCGATGACAAGGCACGAAATTTAAATACGGCCGTACGTTGCTCCTCCTCTCAGCACGAGTATTTGTTTACATATGCAGTGATATGTGTATGCATGCGGTAGGTTCAAATGTCTTGAATGAGAGCATCCTACCAGTGCTCCTCCTAATCCTAAATCCTAATAGTGCTCAGCGATTCCAAGTGGGTAAAAACGTTAATATTCAAAGTATCGTAATAATACTGCTCAAGGGCAAGTACAACGCGAAAAAAGGGACTACATAAGCTTTCCTTTGGTTTTGAAATTTCTATTGACAGTTGTGATTAGTACTTGAGTTTTGTTGTTGCGCAATTTTCACTTCTGCTAAGAAAAATTCCAGAATATGTTTTTGTAATTTTAATGGATTTATACATGTTACTTGACTCTTACTTCTATCAACTATAATGGCAATTATACATTGGCATTCATTTTCTGATTTTTGTTTATTTGAAACGATTATAATTTTAACAGAGGTTTGGAATGGAGTGGAATGGAATTATATTTTCGTTGCTGTTAGAAAACATACAGTGGAGTTCATGATAGGTTAATTGTCTATGTTCGATCCTCCCCCAAGTGTTTATCACTCGAATCTTTCAGAAACTACTTCTGCGGCATGATACTGGTCGAACAGTTCTAAATATAAAGAAGATGTCGTGGAGTCGAAGATGTGAATAATTATATATCGTCATTGTTGTCTTATTTCATAGACAGTTAATTTATCTTCAGTTGGTTTTAGAAACTTACTGAACTTACTGATAATAGTATAAAGCTCATAGTAGTGTAAGACATACAAAGTGTTAAACATAAAAAAATTGAATTCATGAAATTAAGTATAATAAACATCAATTACTGAAAAACACAAATACTGTAAGATTTACCTAAAAAACACACACATACATACACTACATAATTAATGTGTTAATATGTGATACCTTGGAAGGGAATAACATTTCACATTTTAAGTCGCATTTTTCCCTTTTCTGCGATATTTGAAATGCAAGGTTGTAAAACTTGAATATAAATGCGTTTAAATATATTTTTCATTGCGAGTATCTCTGGACTTTCTAGGTTTTAAGATATTATGAGTATATCCAAAGAAAATTTATGTATTGATCGAACTGATAACGTCATACTCCAAAACACATAAAAATTGGAACTTAATGGTGATTCTCCCATGCCTTCATATCTATTAAACTTACAAGCGAACAAAAAAGACACAAAAAACATTATATTTTACAAGAAATGTGAATCATAAAACGGAATGCTTTCCTTTTAAGATTTTAATCGCCTCTTCACAACAAGTTGCTTATTTATATTTTTGTAATTAGGATATTTTTGGTGCTTTACTTTCTCGCATACAACACACATAGTATAGCGAAAGTTGTGGAATACTACGGCGAAAAACGGAACTTTTCTCGGCAGAAAAATCATATAGATTACCGATACCGAAATAGTGGATAATTCTTGTAGTTGTATGTAGTATTACTTTCGTTAACACGTAGTGTAGGCAGAAACCATGTTTTGTGACTCCTTGATACATAAAAATGGGTTTACAGCAAAACGTCTGTCTGTCAATCCGTCTGTTCAGCCGTTTGTATGTGAACAACACTAGCGTCTGTATCGTAAAAATAATTTTCTCTAAAATTGATGTTCCCTAATCGAATTGGTTGATGCTGCGGCCTCTTGAATTTGAAACCGATATTTTAATTTTTGGGCATACTCACATCAAGCCTCAAGAACATTTTCAAAGTTTTCTCAAAAATATCTTTAATTTTTTATTTAACTTTGTCCGCGTTTGTCCGCAAGAGCGTAAAGGACGCATAAAAATAGTGTAGATCTCAGTTTCGTTAAAATATATAAATTCTCGAAAAATACAAAAATTCTAAATTATTTCGTCGTCGTCCTACAACTTCAGTATTGAAGATAGAGATATTTCCTCTGAATAAAATATGTTCTCCAAAATTAGATCTTTATATGAAAACAAATACATTTTTTCAAAATACTAATAATTTTGCGCCAAATATAGGCAATATTAAAAACAAGATTTTCTGAAAAATGGCTCCAAATATTTTCTCGAAACCTTTTGTACGGATAGAATTAAATACACTGAATCTTATGACATACACGTAATATTCATATTATCTTTAATTTTAAAAAAACTTCACTTTCAGAATCGCTCAGACATGTTTTGAGAACGGCTCTAATATGTTTCAATGACAATTTGCATACAAGATTGTTTTACTCTTCTGTAAATTCTTAAAGACATTATTTAATTACACTATTCTGAGGCGCAAAAACTGAGAAAATGTGAAAAAATGTCTTTTTGGTGCCGATATGTAGCAACTGAGAAGAGGATGGGGCAATGTCGAAAATTAAAGAGATTAGAAAACTAACTAGTGCTAGAAAGTCTGTGTAACACCACTCGGTTTTGTTCTCTTTTTTTCTCCTAGATACAACTCGGATAATTAAATATTCGTGTAATTGGGGTTCTTAAAATAATAGGAGCTTATCTGCAAGACGTTTTGGAAGGATATTTACTGCCGACTGAAAATCGGTGTCCAAATCCAAACAGGCGATGATTGAAATCTCCGCGTCCTCTTCGAAACAGGGCTTTGTATTGATTGAGAGTTAGTGATTTCGGGCGCTTCAACGGCTAAGGTCATTATTGCCGTAAGTGTAGGGATGTGGCGGAGATCTATCCAAGCTGGATGGTGAGATCCGGCACCGACCTACCCTCGGCTAGTGAGGTTTTCCTCAACCAGGTATCTCTCACCGGCATAACACCGCCCCAGATTGCACAAGCTGGTATGAGCGGTTCTGTAGGTATAAGTGCATGCATGCACTTAGCATGTGCGTATTGTTGCGGGCATTGGACAGGGCAGGATGCCTCTTCCTGAGCAGGGGATGCACCGCTGTCCGGCGAGGGGTGGGGTGGGGGGGGTCGCGTTGGCGGCGTGGGCGGCGGGGTGGTGAAGGGCGCCGCCCGCGCCTTTCGACGGGATCTGGGGCGATTTCTCCGCGCGATGAAGACGATATTCGATTACAGAGGTGAAAGGCGCCCGCGCTACGCAGGGAGTCCGGCGCTCGCGGGCGCCGGCGGCCACTGCGCCCTCGCCACGACCCACGGGGAGGAAGGATGGGGGTGAGCGATAAACGATGAGCTAGTCGCTCTGCACAGTGAGGGATGGGCAGTGCTTCCGGGACAGTGAGCAACGAATGAAAAGCGATCGGAGATGAGGGATACCTTGCGCGCGATTGGCAATGAGCGGTTTGCAGTGGGTGAAGGGTAGAGGATATAATTTCCTGTACCATGAGAGGCGAATGGAATACGAACGAGGATGAGCCATGAGCAATAAATGATGAGAGATGGATTCTGCGCGACGGCCGATGAGCGGTATGCCGTGGACGTAGCTCAGGTCAGTGATTCCAGAGCGATAAGCCACGCAAGAAAAGCGAACGAGAATGAGCAATGAGCGGTAAATTATAATTGATATGTTCTAGGTAATGGTCAATCATAACTTTTGATGATCAATGATTGATAAATGATGAGATTTCGCAAGATGGTTAATGAATGTTGGCAATGAACAGTGCACCCTACATAATGAGCAGCGGATACAAAGCGGTCGGGCATGAGCCATGTGCGATAGGATGTGGGCAATACGAAATTAGCTCTAGTTGACTATAGCACTCCCTTGGGACTGAATGATAGATGGAAAGAGACTGACAATGAACGATGTCGTTTTGGAAGTTAGACAATTAACATGAAGCGAAGAGAATGAATGATGAGTGGGGTATTCCGTGTTGTGCACTGGTCGGCTGGGGCCAGCAAGCCATTGATGAAAGG